AGTTAAGTGTACATTAATTCTGTTGGAAGCAAAAGCGTACTTAGTATTCTACTGTTAAAGGAGACGTGGATACTCCAAAACACAGGATCTGTGTGCCTAGTTTGGAATGTTCTTATTTTGTCCATTTTGGCTGAGGTGGACAGGCAGAGGGGAATGGATACATACGCCGTGTGTGTATAAAAAGTGGGGATTTGCCAGGGGTGGTGGCGCACGTTTGTAATTCCAGTGCTCAGGAGGCTGAGACAGGAGGATTACTGCCACAAGTTTGAGGCCAGCCTGAGCCACGTAGTGAGTTCAAGGTCAGCCTGAACTACATAGTGAGACCCTGGGATTTGGGGGTCTTTGTGTCTAAAGGTGGGTATTTGTGGTGTTTGGAGAACCCGCTTTGTACTTCAGTCTGCTTCCTAATCTATGCTAAGAAAAATTATCACCTCCTGTTGATTCTGAACCTTCCAAAGCTGCCTCTTCTTAAATTTGGGTACAAATTGACACCATCCCGAGAGAAGGGCCTGGGGACAGACAGAGCAGTGCAGGGCTGCCAGGACCAGGAGGGGGATGCGAACACTAGATTGAAAAGCTGCTTTGGATTCAGATCTCTTCAGGCTTTCTTTTCAATAACTTCCCTGCAGGGTAGTAGGGGAAGTAGATTCGCCAAGGAAGTGGAAAGGTAAATAGGAGAACTGATGTCCCCATAGGAACAGTTTCTTGATTGAGAAAAGAGGTTTTTGTCCCTTTCTGTGGCCAGGGGTGCTATACTTGGCCTTAAAGCTGGGGGAAGGGGTGAGATGCCACTGGAACTGGGTCAGGATTGCAACTCCCGTGTAAAAGCAGCACAAATTAACTGTTCTATGCTGTGAAACCAAGTGTGTAGTAACAGACCTGGCAATTAATAACCTCGTGTTTCTCTCTTAAAAAATTATGTATTACAGCTCCACCAGGTGGCTGCCGACTCTGTGAGACGGGCTGACGGCACCGCAGGCAGGGCAAGCCGCTTGTCAGAGCTGGTGCCGTCAAAATTCATTACAGAGGAGGGCAAAGATGGGACACCACTGTCGGTTTTTCTGAGTCTTACTGGCAACAAACAACAATAAGAAAAAAACTCTAAAAATCAGTATGACCCACTGTAAACCTTTTTCTGGTGTGTTAATTGTGCTACAGGCCATTGTATAATAAATAGTACCCTAGTTCCGACTGTTGTTTTAAGTACTCCCGAGAAGGGCAGAGGATACTAGAGACCCCAGGATTGGGTTTGGCTTGTGACTGTCAGACCCTCGAGTGTGACCTGACTCAGCTGTGGACGGTGGAACGTTGTAGTGAGCTAGGGAAGATGTGGTGGCCTGACTCTGCTGTAAGCTCTTCTCCTTCCAGACTTAGACAAGTGACTTCTGTCTTCTCTGGCTGTCAGTTTCTTCATCTGTGAAACGAGCGAGTTATACTCCCTGACCTCAGAGCTCTCAGCCATTTGCACAAACATTTGGTGATTTTTTAATTTGATGAAGAACAAATTTGTTGTTTAAGCACTTGAAGCCAAATAGAAAAGATGAGGGAGGAAAGCTCATTTTAGCATAGGCATTTACATTTTTACAATTAAACTCTACATTAAGATATTGACACTGAGAACTGGAACGAGACCGTCTTTGCTCTTCTCTCGCTGGTTCAAATACTGCACAGATGTGATAATAAAGACCATATGCAGCCTCACTGAGAGTATCTGATTAGACATAAAATGTAAAAAACGAAAAAGCCAGATAAGTAAATTGAGCTATCAACTTGTTTTAGGCAGCGCAGAGAGTAGTAAAACAAAACAAACCGTCCCCAGCTACTAAAATGTGAAATTCATTTTCCTAACTCATTGGCTCTATTCCCATCTGGGTTTAGAGAAAGAAGGAATAGCTGCTGCTTTTTGTTGTTGTTGTTGTTCGTTTGTTTATTTGTTTTTACTTTATTTACTCATTTTAAAAAGCTTCCCTGAAATATAATTCACCTGTCATGCAGTTTGCCCGTTAACTCAGTGACTTTTAGTGCAAGGCTCCCAGAGCTGCGTGAGCTTCAGGAGAGCCACTCACCCCAGAAACTAACCCTTGCTAGTAAGCCGCAGCCCACCTGTTCTCCCTACCACACTCGCCCCACCCCAACCCCAACGGTCCTTTGTTTTACCTTCCTTCTGTCTACCTGTCATTGTATCCACTGACCAGCGCCTCCCTCCCCTCCGTCAGTATCCCAGCTCTGGCAACCACCCTACCCTTAGCTTCTGTAAGATCATGTTTTGTAGATTACACACATGGCTGAGATCACACAATACTTGTCTTTCTGTACCAGGCTTACTTTACTTAATTTTAGCATAATGTTCTCCTGTTTCATCTATGTTGTCACAAATGACAGAATTTTGTACCTTTTTATGGTTGAATAGTATTCCACTGTTTATAATACATGTCTGTATGTATTAAGAAATAACCTTATGTGTTTAGTAAATGCCTTAATCACGCAAAAATCAAAGATTATATAAAGTGACATTTTAAGAGCGCTGAGTGACATTATTTTATTCTAAATGTCAATCAAATGAGCCATCCTTAATAGACTCAAATACTCAAAATTGTGGTTAGTAAGTATATGCTGTATTAATCGGTTTTGTTCACATTAGTTGAAGACACTAATTTGAAAAAAAGAATAACCCAAATTTGATTCCAGTTTTTAGCTGCACAGCCTATTTAGGAAATACCAAGAACTGATTATTGAAATGGTAGGAATATTAATATTCCTAGGCCTTTGTATTTTGCCTTGTAATCATAAGTGAATTTGATGTTCTTCCTGTTTCCCCCCTTTAAAAAGTAGCAAGTAGGGGCTGGGGATTTAGCTCAGCGGCAAAAGCGCCTGCCTGGCAAGCGCAAGGTCGTGAGTTCGGTTTCCGGTACCGGAGAAAAAAATAAAAAAATAAAAAATAAAATAAAAAATAAAAAGTAGCAAGTGCATCTTTAAAAAAAATTTCCCATGAGTGAAGACTGATTTCACATGGCGGCTCTTCCCACCATTTGGGAAAGAGTCAGTTCATGTATTATTTGCTCCTCTGCTTGGTTTAGTTTGCCGTGCTCCTGTCCGCCGTGGGCAGCGCCCCGTGGAGTGTGTGTTGGCCCTGTGGTGCCGAGCTCTGCGGAAGTGGCGGTGTGTGGGCGTGGCCCTGCTTTAGGGTCGCACGGCTGCTTGCAGTGTAAGGTGGACTTTGATCTAAGAGTTGGGATTTCTGTGTGTGGCCCATTCGTATAAAAACAGAACCTTTGATTTTAATAAGACTCGTTTCTTTCTGCTGAATTCCTGCCTGAAGTCATTGTACTGCTCCTTGAGGAACATCGTTGCTGGTTGCTATGAAATTCATTGACATTAAATAAAAGATTATGACTTTGGGTAGAAATTAAGCAGAAGGAACTTCTCATTTCTTAAAGAGTGAGGACAAAGGGGCTGGGGATTTAGCTCAGTGGCAAAAGCGCCTGCCTGGCAAGCGCAAGGTCGTGAGTTCGGTTCCCGGCACCGGAGAAAAACCAAAAAACCA